GTTTTAAATGTGAAAACGTGTACGTTGAATGCTCTGCGCCGCTTTCCTGTAAGCCTAGAAGTTTGACAATGGTGTTTGGAATGTCACACATAATTCCATTGACTATCCAAACACCATTGTCAAACTTCTAGGCTTACAGGAAAGCGGTGCAGAGCATTCAACGTACACGTTTTCACATTTAAAACTTCGGTCTCAACCTCACTAATAACAGAATTTAATTGTAAATAATTATTTTCATATTATGTAAAACTTGTAATACTATTGTATTTAAAGAAATGTACATGTGAATAATGGTTAAATACTATATGTAAACTTAAATATTGTTATAAAAATAACCCTCTGTAACAAGGTTTGCCTTAAAACAAATAAAATGTTATTGTTATTATTATTATTAATAACAGAATTTTAATAATACATTTTATTTTAATTTTAATAATTCTGCAGTTATAAAAATATATATAACTGTTAATTAGAAAAAATAACTAATTAAAATGTTAGAGAAGCAAAAATATGTGCATAGTAAGTCAAAAGCTGTTTTATTTTGTTAATGTGCCATACTGTAAGGGACATGAGGGTCAGGGAAAGTCATGGGAATTAAAACAAAAATTCAAGTAGGAACCCTGCATATAGAATTTATCTATAATTACTAAAGAAGTAATTTCAAGTTTAGATAAAAATTTTTATTAAAAATTAGTAGTCTATATTTTTCATACAAAGTTATTTCATTAATTGTAATTAAATTATCAATTCTTATTAAAATGTAAGGTTTTATGTTTTGATATTCACGCACATTAAATATATTATTAAAACAGAAGGAATGTTTTCAGATGTTTTCATTTTTGTAACCAGTTGAAGTTGGAAGAAATTGTGTGTGTCAAATTAGAAATATTAGTAATATTGTATCAGGTGAAGATCTTCAGATGTAAAAACACAAAATACACAAAATCTTCAGGTGAAAATTATGCTAATTTTAGTGTGAATGAGGTTTAACTTCAATTTATAAACTTATTTTAATGATTCCGTTATTTATTAAAATTATAGAAGAAATATTATTATTATAAGACATAAAAATATATGCCTTGGTAGAATGAGATTAAAATCTGAGAAATTATAAAGAAATAAGTAAGACATTAAAATTGTTTATTTATTATTTTATTATTATTTTTTAAATTAAACATAATAAAAGCAAATTTATTTCTAGAAGTATATTGATTTATTTGATTATGCATTTTCGTGAATAAGAATTCATTTTTAGAATAAATATTTTCAAGGAATATATTGACTTATTTAATACATGCCTTGAAATTTGAAAATTTTTATTATGTTTTGGAAAATATTTTATGAATTTTCAGTATATTTTAATGTAAATTATCATCATGCAGTTAGATTATTTTATAGAATTCAATTTATTTAACTATTATTATAGATTGTTTTATAATATAGCAATATAAAATACAATATGTGTTAAAAGTTCAAAAAATTCAGTGATCTGGTGGTTGAATACTACTAGAAAATTTTAATTCTGCTAGTATTTTAATTGGCCATCACAAAATCATAAGTGATAGTCAACAAACTACAGTTATTGGGCCAAAACTATTATTCTGGTTATCTGTATTTAAGGATACAGTAATACCCCGAACTTATGCGATAGGTGGGACTGAGCGATAACTGCGTAAGTTGGGGTATAATTTCACAATTTGTGTAAAATCCAAGTCGGATGTATGTAAGCTAATAAATGTTCTTGTTAATCTTATCTCGTCTTTTGATTCGTTCACGGTTGCAAGAAATCATCACACAGAGTCTCTCAAGTCTCTGTAGATATAACAAACACAGAAATAAATAACACAAAATAAATTGTAGCTATGTGTCAGTTTCGAGCGACACGTCTGAACATGTAAGCTGAACAATACTGTGGGGGGAGTGAGTAATCAAGAGTTGCGTGGCGCTCAAACAAAAGACGAATCAATGAGATTTGAAAATTACATAACTCCGGGTTCGCGTAAGTCGAGGTATTACTGTATTCATTTAAAGAATTAATTGTACTGTTATAAACATCTCAAAACCCAACATTATTAATTAATGCCAAATGATTGCTTTAATGCATCAGGATTAGACTATTTTTTAGACTATTATTAATGATTAAATTTTAAGTAATTTTATTACTAGAGGTAGACATTATGTGCAAGCTCTTAAAAGATGGCACCTAATGTCTACCACCTTTAGTATATATGAGAGGAAACATTTATTTTTGAGTCTTTATTAGTCATGAAGACTCAAGCAGAAATATGTGCTTTCCAATTGTAAATTTTTATATTTATTTGCATACTTGTTAAATTTTTACTTAATTAGTTGGAGATAAGAGTAATCTTTGGGAAATCATTTGAGTTAAGAAATCAAACTGTACTTTTATATAAAAATATTGTTTGATTATTTAAATTATAAATACCTAATATTTAGCCTAATTAACTTTAGAGGTGTTTCTTGAAATAAAACTTAATAAATATAAAATATTTATTAAGTTTCATCAACAACACGGTTTCATCAGAATCAAAAAAAAAAAAAAGTTAAAACTTGATAAGTATGACAGAGGCGCCACAGATGAGCGATTATGTAAATACTTGAATAAACTTTCGGTTCAACCCAATATATACACATAAACGATATATAAATATAGATAATATATTACATTTGTAGGCATTTTTATGCATGAAATACAGCTAAAAACTATTTTAAAATATATATAAAAGACTGTTTTGGGGGTCAGAAACAGATTAATGTATTTTTTATTGTTTCTTATGGGAAAATTTATTTCAGTTTTAGAACAAATTGGTTTTCAAGGAACTTTNCAAAGCACTAAGCGAAACAGCATTAAACGAGGTCATTTTAACAGAGTAAATAGGGATAGGGGAACATGCAACCAAAAATAAACAAATTTTACTTTAATTTTAAGTTATTTTTATATTAATTTGTATAATAATATATGTTAAATAACAGATAAAGATATGCACACAGAAATGTAAAGTTCATTTTTTGTGATGAAGGTCCTGACTTTTCTGAAATTCTTGTTCTTTTATAATAAAGTTGTGAAGTTTAATTTGTCACTTTTTTCTTTCCTTAAGAAAATGTTGGTAGTGGAAGATTGCATCCAAAATGCCTTGTTTTGCTTTTGCACTCCTTTCAAAATTTGGATCGTTTGCTACAATTTGATCAACAATTTTGGTTATCTTACCAAACTTTTACTAAGGAAATCCATAGAGAAATATTTTGGGTTCTTCATTTTCTGAATCTCTATTTTCCAGTTCCACATGAATTCCATGTTCTGCCAGTTCTTGAAGGTCATCGTTGGTAAGGCTTTCACCAGAAATTTGCTGTAACTCCTCCATATCCTGCTTATCTATATCTCCAAGTCCTGCTATATCGAGTAGGTTGAGTTTGGTCAACCTAACGATAGAGGGGCTCTTCTCATTGAGAATTCTTGGATACCTTCAGCCATAACTTCCTCCACCCTTCGTTCATGCATTTATCAGTTAATTCTTGCCAAGCAAAGTTGATATTTCCTATGCCATCCATGATGTATTTTTTCCAAAGTTGCACCAAACAAACATAGATTTAAAGAAAGTAAACCTTTTTGCCACCTTTTGCTGATTGGTTTGTGTTAGAAAATAATCATATTATATCAATGAAATGCCACAATAATTTAAATCAGCATAAATTTTGAGCTTTTTTTAGGCTTCGAGCAGACCACGTTATATCAAATCAGCATTAAGCGGGGTCTTATTGTACCTTAAAAATAGCATACAAATTTAAATACAACTTATATAACACATTTTTGTTTAAAATTCATTTTCAAAAATCCACCACCATAAAACTAGTAAAACACAAAACAAAATCAGATATTAATTCCACAAACTTATATTTTTAGTTGTTTCTTAAAATAAGATTTTATCATAATCTTAATGTTAACTCTACATTAATATATATTTTTTTTCCTTATTCATATTTCTTTTATTAACAATGCATAAATAAATAAATAAAAAACTGCTTTATTTCAGCTTTCTCACAGTAAATAACAGTAGAACTTCACAAAACAGTTTTTTATTAATTGAAGAAACTGAAATTATATTCACTTATAATGCATAAATAATGGTATAAGAGTGATCAGAACATGAAAAACAGTATGAAAACATTGTTACTGCTGAAATTATTGCCTTTTAAGAAATGTTTTTAAATTAACTTTTACAATTTATCGTTATTTTTTATCTTACTATTCTTCAATAACATTTGACTCTTTACACTAAACAATAATATGCTTCACATAAATAATTTGTTCTAAGTCAATTTATATAATGTTAAACAAACTACGCAGAATACTGTCACAAAGGAATTAAAAAATACATTCCACGATTATCACACATATTAATCAAATTATATAAACCATTACATAACATAATTATTAAGCACATATGATTAAAATTTAATCAGAAGTTATATAACCTATTTGAAAAGATTATTATATTTATGTAATTATTACACAATCCATTTAAAACAATAGTTATAGTCACAGATTTAAAATTTATATTAAAAAAATATTTTAAATGTATTTAAATTAATAGCTTTTACTGTCTACTCTTACCCATTTACATTACTAAATTATTCAATTACCTGGTAATAAAAGTTGCATTTAGCATATTTGAGTAAGAAATATAAATCACTCTTAATAAGAACTGCAGAAGGATAATTGGAAATTTATATATTATGCTTTATATCATTTCACATATGAAGTAATAAAACTATAGTAAAGCATTGACTATTCTTATCAATGATTATAGTTGTAAAAGAAAATTAATAAAGAAAAGTATAGGTTCTACCATTGAAAAACCTTTAGTATATCTTCTAAAACATATTTATATCTATCAATTATTAAAGCGAAAGAGGATCTGAAAGTTTAGATAATTTAAATTGAGGTCAATCTTGTAAATAAGTTTTAATGCAGTTCTTACTTTGACAGATGCAGTTACCGTCTAGAAAATAACATGAAATAACCATGCATTAAATTCTTTAGAATTAAAAAAATTGCCATTTCAGTTTCATTCTTCCATTTTTTATTGTTTTTTGATCGAAAATGTTTTTTTACAGACGAAAAGGAAAACTCAATTCCAATCAGCTCTTGCAGACCATATCACCACCTATCGGACATTTTACAGCGCTTTCTAGAAAAGAGAAATGAAAAATTTAATTAAATTGTAATGTAATGTATATTAATTAATTATAGTAACAAATAATTATTATAATTTAAAATAAATGGTAAAATGTAATTAAATAAAAAATTTTAAATTTATACTAAACATTTTTTTTTTTTACTTTTTCCGCTCTGAGAGCACTAATAGCTCCATTCAAGTCTATTCGACAAGGCACATGATGTAACGGCCGGGTGGCAATGGACGGATCCGACATATTCGGGATCCAGCCTTTGTCTCTTTGCCACCCAGATTGTCATATCCGTCCCTTGCCCATCAAAAATTTTTTAGGTTGTTCATCCGGTTTCGATCTTAGGACCGAGAGCCATAGGCTACCCCTTAACCATTTCGACCATCCGGTCGGTTCATAATACGCAGGACCGATTCTGATAGGTACAGTATATAATACGTGCATGCACGCAAACGATTAAATTCCTAAGGCGGCCGAGACAGCACTTTAAAAATAAAATTTAAATATAATTTAATATAGTGGCCGGCGATGAAATAGATTGATGCATTATGGCTGATGGTGTAGCTGTGCAGATTATAGATATAAATAACACCGAAACGTGCATGCTAGGTGTTTTGCATTAGAAAATTTGAAAGTACAAGCAACAAGTCAACCGTTGAACCAGAGAAAAATTCATCAGTGGGAATCCCATAACCACTACGAATCTTTCTTGTTTTAAATCACCTAAAACATAATACTGAACCTAAATCATTATAACGTCCATACATACAGAAAACCCTCTGAATGCATTTCTCGACATCTTAAGGTCTCCTGAGTCCAAACTTGGATGGTCAGTTTTTAACCGTTCGCCATACTTTCCCTCTGTTATATACTGTGAGAAATGAAAAAGGTTTTTGTTAGCCCACTACGGTAAACATCCAACAAATTAAACACGCAGTAGATGATATAAAATAAATTTGTTTTAAGCATGATTTAACTATGTATAGGTTCAATAAAGGATGTCAGCTTCTCCAGCCGACTTTAAACCCGATGTCGTTGCAACAATAACAAAAATTAAATGGCACGTCACACTGAATCGTAATTACAATTGGCAAGCGCCAAATCCGACATAGGGCGCTGTTTTTGAGCTAAGATAATTACAGGTAAGGAACCGACCATGTGTTTGTTCAGTGCCTGAGCCGATTCAGTTTCTATCGGTGACGACTACTGCGAGGATCAAATGGAGAACAAATCATTGAAATTATGTCAAATTCTAGACTACCAGTATATCGGCGACAGGAAACGTTGTCTTGTAGAAGGTGAAGTCGTTTTGGATATATGAGACGTACACACACACACACACACACACACACACACAAAACATACCAGTAATGTGTGCTACAAACTTTTGACTGGTCTATGTTATATAAGTGCTGAATGACTCAGCAGGGTAGCCTTCAGATTGACATTAATTTTAACTATTATGATAAATAAAACTATGTTTTTATATTGGAACATGGTGTATACTGCTTAAAATATTTAAATACTTTTCACCTGTTAACGTGTAACAAACATACTATCACATGTTTACAAAAACCAGATAGCCCCGCTTTTCACGTGCATTCTCCCTGTAATTGAGATGTATTAAAAAGCCAATATCTGAGATTGAAACACTAAACCAACAACATGAACTTCGGTGTTGTTGTTAGAGTTTAATCCACAAAATACGATGTGCCCAGCATCCAAAACGGCTTCACCTATAAGACAACGTTTCCTGTCGCCGATATACTGGTAGTCCAGAATTTGACATAATTTCAATGATTTGTTCTCCATTTGATCCTCGCAGTAGTCGTCACCGATAGAAACTGAATCGGCTCAGGTACTGAACAAACACGTGGTCGGTTCCTTACCTGTTTCGGCAGCCATCTTGGCTCAAAAACAGCGCCCTATGTCGGATTTGGCGCTTGCCAATACAGTGGAACCTCGCTTAACGAGCATAATTCGTTCCAGAATCTTACTCGTAATGCGAAACACTCGTTAAACGAAACAATTTTTCCCATATAAATTAATGTAAAGTACGATAATGCGTTCCATGCCGAAAAAAATACTCAAATATTTTATGTATAACTTTTATCAAAGAAAATTATACAATATACTGTACATTGTTAAGGAGCGTGAATCATCGTCATCTTTTCTTCTAGCGCGGAATGAACCAACATAAAATGCGAATGTGATTTGCAGAAAACAAAAAAAAAAATCGAAAAAATATCTCATAAACAGCCAAATGCTATGCCAAATTTTTTGGGCTATGTAAAGGCTATAATTAAATTAATCAATTTCTAATATTTAATTTAATTATAGCCTTTACATAGCCCAAAAATTTGGCATATCGTTTGGCGTGTTTATTATATAATGGGCTACGGTTGTTGATGTTTATACGTAATGTGTGAACACAATTTGGAAAAATGTGTGATCACAAGCAACACTAAGATGCTAGCGGAGCGAGTGCTAAATACAGACTGATGGAGTATGCGCACAAATCCGGGACTTCCCATCTCCTTGTCACTAGTTAAGCGAGTCATTTTTACAATTTGTTTTGCTCGTTATGCGAGGTTCCTCTGTAATTTAATAATATAAACAAGAATAATTATTACAATAATAATTTTCCTTAAACTAACCCTTAATAATAAGCTTACTCTAATAAAAGAAAATTGAAATTAGGAGGCAAGAAGTACACCGGAGTTCGATCGGGGATTCGCGTCTCACTCGGACGAACTGGCAGCGGGAGTTTTTCCGGGTTTTCCTCCTTGCCAATGACGCCCAGCTTCCCCTCCAAGTCTTCCCGGAAGGCACTCTTTCCCCCTTTCTCGCTTTGGCCGTCTCCTCCTATAAGGCCGGCTTTGGTCGCTTTGTGACCTCGCTCATGTCTTCCTCGAATTGGTCGTCTTCGATAAGGTCGCCTCTTCGGTCGCTGAGCGATCTTCCCCTCTGTTCTTCCAGAGTGAAAAGCGAAGGCTGCAGCACTCCTCTATCGAGATGAGATACGAGAAGTAGTGAAGATAGGATTTTTTTAACTTTTTCCGCCCTAAGGGCACTAAGAGGACCTCTTTTAGCAAGCTCGTGGATTCGAATTCGGCTAGGCCCACAATGGATCGTCCGGGTGGTGAGGGACGGAAGCCGACATATTTTTCGGGGGCCACGCCCCGAAAAATTTCTGGAGATTATTCAACCAAGTTCGGACTCGATCCCGGGTCCCCCAGAGCGGTAGGTTGCCACCTTGACCACTCGGCCATCCGGCCTGAATAACGGATAGGATAGGAAAGAATACCCGGGTCTTTCAGTTACCGTGAGAACCACGTTTCAGCTACTTAATCGCAAAATACTTGCTTCTATCTTCCTTTTTCTTGGTTCTTCAGAATTTTCTTGTATATTTTATTCTAAAAGTCAGTCGCACGTTCGGGCTCTTCAAGCGGAAACGCCGGCTCTAAGACAATAACTTCGCCACAGAAATTTCTAAGTTCTAGCCTCACCCGTATCTCGGGCACTGGACACTGTGACGACTCACTTCTTTCGTGATTTTCTGTCTTCGCGCACCAATCCAAAAGTGACTTTCCTTTGCTTCGTATTTCTCTCAGATAACTTCGCATACGATGTTGTTTAATTCCAGGAAGTGACCCTCACCTCCAAGAAAGAATAGTTAAGATTAGAAAGTCCTAGAAGGTGGAAAGAACAAAGAGAACTGAAAATTGTCAGAAGAACAAAAATCAAAAGCATCTAATATGGCAGATAGCTACAATATAACAGCCGGGAAAGTGATTGACAGCTGGATGGCCGAGCGGTGAAGATGGCAGCCTACCGTTCTGGGGGACTCAGGATTAAATCCGGAGTGGTCGAAAAATCTCCAAGAATTTTTCGGGGATGGTCCGACCGGATATGTCGGCTCCCGTCCCTCAATACCCGGCCGCTCTATTGTGTGCCTGGCCGAACCCATAATGGGTTTGTTTCAGAAGCAGGATCTTTGAAAGGAAGGAAAATGAACGAAACAGCAATTTGGCGTTCTTTTTATGCTACAACGCTATGAAAGAAAATTTAAAACCTGTGGTTATTTACAATGCTGAGCCTTTTCACAGAGAAAATTTCAAACTGAAAAATATTCCTGTGACATGGTACTGAAACGAAAACTATATCTGATATCTAAAGTATCTGAAAAGTGGTTACATAACGTTAACAGCGAAATGGAAAAACAAAGTAAAAAAACTATACCTTTAATACAGATGTTTCAAGTCACAAGAACGGATTATCATTTAGTAATATAAAATTGAAATTTTTTCCGCCTAATTTAACCAGTGAACTGCAGCTATTAGTTGAAAGTATAATTTAGAGTGACCATCCATCCCCGATTTCCAGAAACAATTCCCGTTTTTGACTCTCTGTCCCCGGAAAGGCTTCTTGTCCCCGTTTATCACCGTTTTTCGTTTCCTTGTGGTTACTGTAATTGTTAAATCCAGGATAAGAGACAATAAAACACACAGGAACGAGTCCAAGTAGCATTTATTTTGTTGATAGGTCGAGCAGACAACTGGTCTGACTAACGGAAAAGGGCGCCAAAATGTTACCCAATTATATTTTATCTTATTAACGTCCCCTGGCGGCGACATATACTTTTAGTCGATACAGCACAATAATATTGCCGCTATCATGGTTTTTCCGCCATAGGACGTGTCTATCGTCTTCAGCGTTGCTAGGTAATTTTTTATGAACTAATTAATTTTTTGGGCCCACCAGTGGCCAAGCAGTTCCGTTCCCCGAAAAATGGAAGTTCGATCGTGGATTCGCTCCTGGCCAGGACGAGCTGGCCACGTGGAGTTTTCCGAATTTTCTTCACGTCTGTAACGCTTGAATACGGGTCATTCAGTTACCCTTAGAAAGACCTCCCGGAAGGCATTCCCCCCTATGCAGATCGCCCAAGTATTGCATTGCCATAACTCAACAAAACAAACAAACAAAACTAATTTTTCTGAGGAAATGCCAAAAAAGAGACAAATTTTAAAACGCGGACAAAAATATATCTAAAACTGCGACAAAAGTAAATAGATATGAACGTTATTGGAGTACAGCTATTTGATTAAAGCAAATGAGCTCAATCAAAATTAAAATGTTTAGGTCTCAGTCATGCGTATGTATACTTTACAGTACCCATTTGACAATATTGATACAAGTAGGCTGCTACTGTATACTACCCTAAAAGGTGATGATTGACTTGTGTTCCCGGATTTGACGAAAATATATGGTCACCCTATATAATTCTGTTTTAAGAAATTTTTACAGTTATACAGTTACAGTTATTTCTACAGTTTTACTCGTTCTACCCCATGGTTTTAATAATTAGTTATTCCAATTGTTTTTAGTTTTACTGATTTATATACTGTAATTAAATAAGAATTGAAGAGGAGCATGAAATCCGAAATGCATGTCCGTTGTAAATTATAGAAAATAAATCTACTTTTTCCATGAAAAGGAGTGTTCCTGTGTAATTTGTTCTCGATAGCAACTTTATGCTAAGTTCTAAAGAACGTGCAACTAATTATGAGAACAAGTAATCGAGTAGTAAGGAAGTGAATCTGCTGAGTGTTTTCATATGCAAAAGCAAATTGTTAACAGCGTTTTTTGTACTTAGTTTTAGATGAATTATGTAATATATTACAATGGTTTAGAATGTAGAAAAGTGTTCTTATAAAATAACTTTTAAGTGAAAAATTTTTGCCATGTTTTTCTTAATTTTTATTAGATTAATTCGAATGAACTTAAAAAATAATTATATCTGAATAAAAGTGAACGTTCAACATTAAAAATATAAATTTTTATTAAAGAATATTTATTTTTCTAAACATTTGAGTTGACTTCTTGCTCACAAAAAGTGCATAGAGAATCACTATAGTCACCCACGGAAAGCACTAACGATGCCTAGCGAATAAAATAGGAACGTTAAAAAGAGGGCTCGTTTAATTGTTGACGCTATTCAAATAACTGTATTTTGCTGAAATTTGGTTGTTTATGAAATTATGGATAATACTTTTGAAGACTCCTCTAAACATAAGAATAAATATTATAATGTAAGGTTTTTTGTAGTTACTGGTTGCATATAAGCCTAGAAAATTACGATATTCACTTAAGCAAGTATGTGGTGTGCATCATAATTTTCTACAAAGTAAAGCCACGTGTTGTCGCTGGTGCTCCTATTTTGGCTACATTAAAAAAAAAAAATTATTTTAAGTTTTTCGCCATGGACTTTTCATATTGCTGTTTGACAAATGACATTCATAATAATTGTTACTTCTTTAATTAATTAATGAGTTATCTATGGCTGCCTGATGCAAGTGAATCTTGTCGGACAGTCAATGTAGTAATCCGTAAGTTTGTTAGTCTTTCATTTACTAAAACTACAATAGAGAATTGAATTACATATTTATCTCCTAGATAATCTACATTCGAATGCTAAGATTGGCCACAAAAGGATATAACAATTTTTACTTTTTACCTACTCTGGCAATAAAAACACTGGTTCAAATTCAAATGTCGTTTTAGATACGTAGGAATGTCACCTTTCTCTTTTCAAGTTTTAATAAAGAAATTGCTGTCATCAAAATAAATAGATGTGAAATTTATTGAAAAGTTAATCAATTTGCTTCACATGTTTAACTTTTAATATTATCTGTGATTGTAAAAAACTTTGCTCGAATAAAGTAACATTCCTTTGTAAAAAGCTGGAAGTAGGTTTGTGAATTACTAAAACTTTTAAAAGTATTAACGAAAATAGAAGTAAAACTAAAGCACTGTAATATCTTTTTTCAAAGTGTCTTTTATATACAGTGGAATAAATAAGTCACAGCTTAAACTAAGAAAGTTTTTATTTAACTGCTGAGCAGACAATCATCGACTTGTTATACCTTCTTTCCAATCTTTAACTTCGAAAACTACACCACAAAATGCGATGGCAGCCGTGGGAGAGGATGAGTATTCGAAAAATTATTTTTCCAAAATTTTTTAATGGACATCAAAAATAGAAAATAAAAATACTGTAAAATATGAAAACATTTTAAGTTGATTAGAATAGATGTAATAGTACTGTTTGTGGGCATACAAAAATACATTATATCTTATATAATTGATAAATATTCTACTTGTATATTCAAAACAAGATTATTTTGCCTAATTTTAAAATTTGAGAACTTTATTTTAACTTTATTTCATCTGTTCATTTAAATTGCTAACCAGTAGTACACTTCCAACAGAAGGCTGCCCACGAAATCCAATGCCAGAAAGACCTAATGCAACAGTAGTTGTAGCAGAAGGTAACAATGCAAAATTCACAAGAGGAAGAGCTCCAGCAATATAAGCTGAAAGTGGTGGTACTAAACCAGGTGTGCCAAGAGGAGATGCAAGCAAACCCGTAGAACCTGATTTTATTCTTGTGATGATCTAATGAATCTAATGTTACATCACCAGAAGGAAGATTATTATTGATGAAATCTCTGTTTTTGTCATTTTTAAATTTAATATTCAAATTTGTGAGTATGGAATAGTTTATTCTCAGAGTACAACAGGCATCGTAAGTATTTTTACCATCTATGAACAATTTTGTTGCTTGTGTATGAGAGCTTGATATGTGTTATTTTTTGTGAATGTAATTATTTTCAGAACTTTCCCAAATCTAGAAATATCTGACAAAAAATGTCAAGAGTTACAGGATAGATCTGATTATCCACTATGACCCTAAGAACAGTAATTCGTCCACCGTGAATCTATGATTTATTGATGCTTGAACAGTTTAAAGAACTGTTTGTGTCGTTGCATGTGAATTTGAATGCAAAGTGCCTGTTTTAAATTCTTTATGGTTTGAAAATTGAACATAAGCAGTGCGATTTCGAATGGCTGGCGAGCCAGAATTTACAAAATTATTCACCATTCTAGTTGCTGAAACTTCATCTGTCATTTCTAAAAAAAACCTGATTTTTTCCCTTTCAATAAGTACACATTACTTACATGTTCAAATGGCACCCCCAAATGAATCATATTTGTCTCAGTAGCATCATTTGGAATGTTGCGGATAGGAACCATGCAAGATGGTTTCCCTTGATTTTGTCAAGTTTTACCTTCGATGTTATAGTATTTGGATTTATTGCCACACAAGCATTTGAAGGTGGAGTTGGTTCGTACTATGGAATATCATCTGAGATTCCCATCATCGTATCTTGCAAAATATCAGCAATATCAACTGTACCAACATTACATCTCAGGATAATTATCACAAAGATTAAATTGTATAATTAAAATAACTAAAATATCTACTAACGTGAGGTAGATAATAATAATAAGGGCTTATCACACCAGTGATAATAAGCACAAACACTCAGAAATCAATGTAGAACATTTAATAAAACAAAAAAGGGGTGTACAGTAAAAACGACTACATGAGTATGAGTAAAGAACATAAATAAGCAAAATGCATTTCGGACTATTGGAAATAGTCCCTCTTCAGTTGGTATTAATTTAAAAGGGTATTATGCTTAAAACTATACAAGATAAACATACCGTTATAACGGTATGAGCAGTAAACATCAAAGTAGGCAGGCGCAAAACGGTTTCATAATAGTGCAATTTAATAAAGTTTATTGGACCCCACTGGTAACACCAGTCTAGCATCCGGTCCAGCTACCTCTGTATGACACCCCTACGACCGGAAGATAAGCTCTCGGAAGCCGCCTCCAGACTAGGTGCCAGTAAACAGCGACCTTTCGCCAAAAAAAAAAGCCATCATTGTCTGACCCGAAAATCAGGCTAGACGTCTCTCCCCACAATGCACCAATCTCCCGTTCTTAGTAAAAGGCGGAAGATTATCACGAATGAAGGGAAACCTGAGTTCGTAATGGTGCAAGGTGATTCGAGCCACCTTGCACCATTATGAAGCCGTTTTGCGCCTGCCTACTTTGATGTTTACTGCTCATACCGTTATAGCGGTGTGTTTATCTTGTATAGTTTTAAGTATAATACTCTTTTAAATTAATATCAACTGAAGAGGAACTATTTCCAATAGTCCGAAATGCATTTTGCTTATTTATGTTCTTTACTCATATTCACGTAGTCGTTTTTACTGTACACCCCTTTTTGTTTTATTAAATGTTCTACATTGATTTCTGAGTGTGCTTATTATCACTGGTGTGACAAACACTCAGCGTTGCCAGATGTTTTTTGTCCTTGTAGCCAAATAATTTTTAAAAAGTAGCCCAAAAGTAGCCAATTGCTGGAGCAGTTGGCTACTTTTGTACCAGATGTTGTTTTACCTAGTACCTTTGCACTAATCTAGTACCTTTTTACTTGTCCCAGTACCAAGATA